GTCATAGATATATTTGGGTGGCTTCTCCTCCTTTTTCTCTTTCTTCCCCTCTGCTTCCTCCTCTTTCTCCTCATTATTATTATCCTTTAATGAATTTACTGAAGCAATAACTCCATATTAGTTATTGGAGAGACACAAAGATGAGGCAAAATCTAACTGATCTAACATTATCTTTAGTATTGTTGCCAAAGACTCGAGTTATAAAATTTAATGACATAATTAGTATGATTAGGCTTTGGTCATAGACTTTTCTCATTTTACCTATGAGGACCCTGAATTCCAAGGTGGAAAGGTTGGCTGAGTGACCTTTTCTATAAAGCTCATGGGTGTGTCTTCACAGAGCAGAGTCTGAAATTTAGTTCCCAGACTTCCCTTAGGGATTATAACTGGGTGACCCAAAGTGGATGAAAAATGTGAAGACTGAATTTCAGAAAGTCTTTGTGATACAATATAACTTATATTTCAGAGGGCATATGTGATTGTGTGTTTGACTTAGGTATGTTACTTCCTGTTCCTGTACACATTTTAGTTAGGCTACATCATGGTTCCAGTATGAATTTCCGTCACAGTGTCTGTGGTGAACTACTGCAATGCTTAGTGAATAAAAACTTGGATCACAAGATATATCCATGTTTAAACATGTTGCATATCTTTTGGAAGTAACTTAGCTATCATTTTAGTATGCACAGTTTTTTAATTTGAAAAAAAATCTGAATTCTTCAAATTGGAAACAAATTAAAAAATACAAAACAGTGATACTTGGCTAAAACAGCCGGGTAAACCCCTCCCGGGCACTATGCTGGAAGTGCCATCACTACCAAGTAAAAGTGTGTCTTTTTGTGTTTGATTAATCAGTAGACAGGGGGCCAGTTAATTCACTATCTTTTTGGCTTTCTGCCTTTCACTCTTGGATTCCAAAAGCAAGAATAATCCCATTTTGGGATTAATTCTTTTATTTGTAATTCAAGGGAATTTAAGGAGCCTGAGAAATGTGTCTCCATAGAAGAAGAAAGTTCAGCCTCAAATCTCCCCAACTGCTGGCCTAGCACTAACAGGCAACTTGTAGCTGGATTCCCATTTTCTTACCCCCTCCCTTGCCTCCTACTGTTAGTCAGTTCTAAAACCTGAGAGACTGCGGTCATGTGACTCTTGGCTGGCTTCTGCTTTCTATCCATTCCTCTCCCTTAGACCCTCTCCCCCACACTTCCTGATTTGTTTAACCACAGTTTAGTTTTATCTGATCTTAGATTTCATATAAATGGAGTCATATGAGTGGCTTCTTCTACTTACAACATTTTTAAGAATATATAATTGACATAACTTATATTAGTTTACATGTACAACACAATGATTTGGTACATGTATATATCGTGAAATGATTACCACAGTTAAGTCTAGATAACATCCATCACCATACGTAATTATAAAAAATTTTTTTCTTGGATGAGAGCTTTTAAGATCTATTCTTTTGGCAACTTTCAAATATGTAATACAGTCTTGTTAACTATAGTCGCCACGCTAGGCATTATATCCTCACGACTTACTTTCTTGTAAGTGGCGTTTGTACTTTTTGACAGCCTTCACCCATTTCACCCAGTCCCCATGTCCCACCTCTGGCAACCCACCAATCTGTTCTCTATGTATGAGCTCAGTTGGTTTTAGATTCCACATGTAAGTGAGATCTTATGGTATTTACTTTCTGTGACTTATTTCAATGTTGTCAAGGCCCATCCCTATCGTTGCAAATGACAGGATTTCATTCCTTTTTATAGCTGAACAGTATCCCATCGCATATATATTTTTGAGATCCATCCTTGTTGTTATATCTGTAGCTCATCACGTTTATTGCTAAGTAGTACTCCATTGTTTGAATATTCCACCTTATATTTATCCATTCTCCTATTATATGGTAAGTATTTTTGTCTAAACCTAATTTCTGGCCATCTTTTATGTCCCTACTGTTGTTTTATGTTTTGTCTCCCCTGCTTATTGTCCTCAAATGAATGTGTCAGGTGTTTTAGTTGATTTTCGTGGGGTATGGTAACCTCTATATACACAGTTTGTCAGCCGAGCAAAACTTTATTTTGTATTATCTTTGATTATTGCTTGTGTATTCTGTTAATCTTCTCTTTCCTTTTTCAGGACGCTGGTCATCTGTTAATTGATATGCCCTTCTCTGGTCCTCCATGGCTATTTTCTTTTTCCTAATTTTTAATTCTTTATATCTTTCCTCTGTATTGAGAGATGCCTGTTTATTTTTTTTTTATCCCTCATTTCCTATAGCATTTTTATTGCTGTCAACATGGAGTTTAATTTTATATTCACTTTTCATTTTTAGTGAATGAAATCTTTCTTAATTTCTTTTTATAATTCTTTATATTTAATATTATTATTTATGTAATTAATTCTGTGTTATATTTTAGCTTGTTGTGTAGTTTGTTGTCTTTATGTAGAGGAAATGTTTACTTATGCTTTCTTGAATATGCCAAACCATTTCCTGAAAATTTATTTTGCATTATACCATAGAAAATATTCAGAAAGGCTCTGTAAAAAGAATTTCCCCTTCTAACATGCTTTTTAATCAGTCCCATGTTGTTGTTTTTTTTCCTTCTTTCCTTATTATCCTCAGCAAGTGGACTCTGTGCAGAGCCAGATGGATTGAGTAGATGGTCTTTTTATTCTATTTTTTATTTATTTTATTTTTGCTTTAATTTTAATTTAATTTTATTTTAAGTTTATTTATTTTTGAGAGAGAGAGAGAGCATGCATGAGTGGGGAGGGGCAGAGAGAGAGAGAGAGACAGAGAGAGGATCCCAAGCAGGCTCTGTGCTGTCAGCCCGGAGCTCAATGTGGGGCTTGAACTCATGAACTGTGAGATTATGACCTGAGCTGAAACCAAGAGTCGGATGCTTAGCCAACTGGACCATTCAGGTGCCCTTTTCATTCTATTTAAAAAAATATCTTTTTAAATTTTTATTCATTTTTGAGAGACAGAGAGAGAAGGAGGTGGGGAGAGAGAGCACGAGCTGGGGAGGGGCAGAGAGAGAGGGAGACGAAGAATCTGAAGCAGGCTCCAGGCTCTGAGCTGTCGGCACAGCTGTGAGATCATGACCTGAGCCGAAGTCGGACGCTCAACCGACTGCGTCACCCAGGTGCCCCCATTCTATTTTCGAAAATTCTCAATCCTTTTTCAGTCTTCAGCTGAAGGACCGACTGAAGGACACACTGCAGTGCGGGTCTCAGGCCCAGCAGATGGCGACTCTGTGTCCCTGGTTTCTCCTGCACTTGCTTCTCTCTCCTAGTCTCTGCTATTTCTACAGTGTTAGGCAGTGTGATTCCCACATACAAAGCCACAGTTCTTTCTCTTCTCTTTCTTCAGGCAGTGCTTCTCAGAAAGCCCTCAGCTATCATCTGTTCCCTTGACTTTCTGCCCATTTGTTTTCTGAGCTTTGTTGCATCTCTATGGTCATGGAAAGACAGAGGTAGTGGGACAGTGGATGGGAGTCTGGGGAGACCAGTCTCCGCTCAGTCTAACAATGGCTCCTCAGTGGTAGACACTTCTGTGTAGGTTTTTGGTGGGCAAATACTTGGGGTCTCTGAGTGGATGGACAAACAGTGGGAACCACAGCATGTATCTTACTTGTGTTCACAAGGCTGTTAGCTTGAAGCGAGGTTGAAGAATGCCAGGAGATAAAAACTGGAGAGGTATCTGCTTCTCCTCCAGCATCGACTGTTTTGTAATTGCTGGCAATTCATGGTAGATTTGGGTTTAGGTTGTTTTTCAGTCTTCGTTTTTGATGGGATTGAGATTTTTTTGCTTTGCTTTGCTTTCTTCTTGATCTTTTTCAGCACCTTCATTGATATTTGGTACTAGGTAGAGAGGACATTCCTCAGAGCCACTAGCCAAGTGTCATTCTGAGAAACACTCTTGATCTTACATTTTAAATGGTGACTTTATTTTTTTTTTAAGTTTTTAAAATTTATTTATTTTGAGAGAGAGAGAGAGAGAGAGAGAGAGAGAGAGAGAGAACTGGGTGGGAGGCAGAGAGAGAGAGAGACAGAGACAGAGACAGAGACAGAGAATCTCAAGCAGGCTCCCTGCCACCAGCACAGAGCCCGACGCGGGTCTCAAACCCATGATCCGTGAGGTCATGACCTGGGCTGAGACCAGGAGTCGGCCACTTAAGTGACTGAGCCCCTTAAATGGAGACTTTATGTGGTTACATGTTACATACACGAACATATTCGTATTGAAGTGGTTAAAATCGAGTGAACAGCTCATTATTTAAATAAAAACACCTTACAAGTCTGTTGTTTTACAAATTATGAGCTGGTTATTTCAGTACAATGCAGACATCCTTTTGGGACTGTGTCATCCGGTGGGAGTCAGGAGGTATGGGTTCCAGCCAGTTGTTCACATCTCCAGTCAGGAGGTATGGATTCCAGCCAGCCGGAAATATGTGGATTAACACTCAGCATTTCTAAAACTCATCAACCTCACTGGAATGACCCCTAAACCCCACAATACTCATTCAATAGCCCTCATATCCAACATATATATCTGGTATATGGCTCTTCTTTTGCTTGATTTTCTTTTCTTATGTATAGAGCACGTGGAGCAGGATCTCGGATCATTGTTAAGACTTTCCTTTGGTCTAATTTGAAAAACAGAGTTGTTGGTTAGTGGGAGATTTTGTGGTGGGCAAAATGATGAACTCTTTTGAAGGCTTCCTCAGAGGGTGTGAGATCGTCAGCTCTCACTTATGCAAAGATGTCAACTGTGCTAATATAAACAAAAGCCATAAACTTGGCATTTTAGCTCATGTCTCCTGCAGCTAGAACTTGAAGGTAATGTTTTAAATTGTAATATTTAGTGATGGTTTCTTTCTTAGGCTTTTTTAATATTGAGTTTAGTTAAGGATACAATAGTGAATTGAAGATCATTGGTCTTGTTAATGTGCTGTTAATAGCAATTCAAAACTGTTTTTTTTTTTTTTTAGCTTAATCCGGATTATCGAGATGCTCAAAATGAAGGAAAAACTGTGGTGAGTGGAATTGTTTTTTCCCCAACAAATTCCAAAAATATTGTGCATATTTTACATGAACAAATTGAAAAGTTAATAGAAAATTTGAAGACTAGGGATTCTGAGAGATTCTCTGACTAGAGGCTATGAATCACAGATAATAAGTAAAAGATGATGCACTGACATTATAAATAGATGTCTGGTAATAGGTATTTAGGGAGATTTCTGGCAACTTGGAGGCCATTTATGATGGAGCACTGATGGCCATGGGCATCTGGGAGGTATGGTGGGTCTGGGTTTACTTTTCTTAAGTGCATAGAAATTAGGAAAGACAAGTTGAATTATGGTATGATGATAGTAAAAGGGCACAATGGGACAATCTTTTCTGGTTAAAAATAATTTGGGTTCTATTTACGGGGAGAAATTGAGGCATCAAACAACTATATGACTGATTTTTCTGATATTATGAAGCATGCCACTCAAAAAACATCTCAATCTTATTTAAAAGCCAATTTTCATTAAGATATTTATTATTATTCAGCCTGCTTTTTCATCACCGTTGTAAAGACGATGATGTTACGAGGACAGTAGGACTTAATTCAATAGAAAGTTCTGAAATTCAGGACAATTTGGTGTGATGCAGACAAAACCTGGTTGGTGGGCTGGATAGAAAGGTGTATCTATATAGCTATATGTATTTTCAGCAATTTAGCTAGATTTTTGGATGTAAAATAGACACAGTGTATAATTTAATTTTCTTAGGAATTTGGCAATCTCTTTTGGAATTGCTAAGAATGATTACTACAGCATTCAAAATTCCACCTTTTGACAGAATGAGTTGAAATGTTTGATTGAAATGACTACTGTCTTTGCACTGGCCCTCAGCTTTATGTTTTATGAGGATATTGATATGAGGGAGGTGAATCAAATCAGAATTTCTGGACCTGAGTCAATCCTGTTTGACTTCTTTCTCCATATGACTATCAGGTTTACAACAGAAGTGAAACTGAAGTATCAGGTCTTTGGCCCAACGAGAACTTTAATTTGTGTCAAAATGTCCTTAAACATAGAAGTAGGCTTATTAAATGGGTTGGATCATTTATTTATAATTCAATTTTCTCCCCCTGTGTGGATTCTTTTCTCCTTGGTTTTCAAAAGCTAGCCCAGGATTGTTGGGTTCTTCTTTCCCCATGATTTAGAAAACGCCATCCATAACCATGTTTAAAAGCTGAGTCTTTGGTTCTTACTATAAGCTGGTCGATGGTCTCTTGCCAATGACTGCCAGGAACACACCAGTTCTTAAATGGGGTTAATTGCACATTGCATTTACATCCAAGGGAACTGTGGGGCCTCTCAGAGGGTGCTAGAAAGAACCTATGGTAGGAATTGGGCTTGTACAAGATGACTTGGGGAGGATTTAAAGAAGTGGGGCTCACTGTGGATAAGAATGCTGGCAGGAGGAGGAAGTATCTTAATACATTTTTATCTATAGGGAGGGTAGATGAGAGCCAGGCTAACGCTGTGAGTGCTAAAGAAGAAGCACTCATTTTAGCTAGGGGAAAGGGATATCGAATCATTTTTATGGCTTGGACAACATTGACATGTTGTCAGTATTCAGATATGATTATGGAGCAGTGTTGTTTTGACGTGATCCATCCCGGGCATGGAGCGGCCTTGTCTGATGTTGGTGTTCTGTGAAATCGTTCACGTTCGCAGGAGGACACCGTGGCCTGGCTGTGAGAGTCAGGGTGCCCTTGGCAGCACTGAGCCTGCCCGATCACACCAGGCCAGCTGTCGGATGTCAGGAGTTGCCTTTCTCTTTCTCAAGGTCTTTTTTTATGAGATTCTATGTGACTTCTTCAGCCAAGGGAGTTCTGCTTCTAGCACCACTGTTAACCTGTACGGCCTTGGACATGTAAGATAGCCTTCCTGAGACTCCATTTCCCACCTGACTAATGGGATGAGGATGCTTGCCCTACATACGTCACCTCTGTGCCGTGAGGTTAAAATTCAATCAGATAAAGGGAAACTTTTTGAATAAAAGATATTTGTAGGCTAAAAATGTACGTTGTTTCGATTAAAAGGGCAGTGCATCAAACTTCGAATTGTGCAGTTGAATTACATCTCTTTCAGCTTATCTCCTTTCAGCTACATGCTGTTTGGTGATGCTTCTGATGCTTCGGGGCGGGGCTGAGTGGGAGAGAGAGAGTATGAGTGATAGGGTATGAAAGCAGCACAGAAAATATAGGTAATGAATCCATGGTGAAGTTTGCTGTTTGCACCCATCAAGCTTTTAGTTAGACTTCGTAGATTTGTTTCCTTCTATATTCTGAGATACAAGTTCTTCATTCACCTCTGAAGGTGAGAAAGAGTACTTTTCTGTGAAGCAGTTGCTACCAGCAGCACTTTAATTGCATCTGACACAGGTGGGTCTGCTTTGCTGTGGAAGTTTACGACTGGATCTCGTCTGCCATCTCAGAGAGATGTCCAACTGGAGACATTTGATTTCATCTTTCTTCTATCCTTCATCCCTAGCTTGAAAGTAAATAAAACTGAAGATATGGAACACTAAAGCTAACAATATGGCTTCTCATGTTATAGACCATTTGCCACCTAGCAATAATTATGTTTCTGTCTAGAAAAGAAAACAAAGGAGCAGTTAGAGCTTAGCCTGTGAAAAACGAAATCAATTTCCCCAAACAGAATGCTATCTCACCCCAGATCTGGGTTCCAGTAATGCTGAGTTCACTGTGACCATGCTAATTATTTTCTTTCCAAATTTTCCCTTATGTTATCTATTTAATATCCAGTTAATATTTTTTCCTGTAATTTAGAAACCTTTATCAAAATGTTGCCTTCCATTTTTGAAGTTTCAAAGGTTAATGCATGGTGCCACTGAAATGCGGCGGTGTGTGTCAGAGCTCCCATTAAGACCCAAATTGCTGTATTTATTCTACAAAGGAGCCTATTATTTCCAATCTTACAAATGTACAGCATCCACAGGGACCCTGTAAACATTGGAACTGTGTCAAGCCCAGCTGGGAACCTGACAGTCATTAGTTCCTTCTTGAAAGGCTGCATCTTTTCAAATGGCTCTTTGAAGGGGATTTTTTTTTTTTTTTTTTTTTTTTTTTTTTTTTTTTTTGGAATAACACCACCCATTTTCACATTACCGTATTGATGTGGAATGTGATCTGATTTTTCAAGGGAGTGTCTTTTGTCGATGCTGGGGTCTCTCAATTTCAGCAATATTGATATATTGGCCCAGAAAATTATTTGTTGTGGGGGGGCTGTCCTTTACATTGTAAGATGTTTAGCAGATCTGTGGACTCTGTGTATTAGATACCAGTAGTGGTCTCCCCTGCCCCCAGTTGGGGCAACTAAAGATGCTCCTGGAAATTGCCAAATGACCCCTGCTGCGGTCCAAACTCTCTGCCTGTTGAGAACCACGTCTTTGTGCACAGACACACATAAATAGCAATGTTCTAGGAACCATGATGCTTAGCTGAAATGTATTTGAAAATTCTGTCTCATAGACTTTTTTTGGTGGTGGGGGACCAGATTATGAACAAAGCCCCCCACTTTTCCATGAGTTTTTACTCTATATTCATCAATGGTAAGGTGATAAAGAAAAGAAAGGAAAAAGAGTCCTCATAGGAAATAGTTTAAGAGTAACAGATTTTTAAGGAACCATGCAAGAGAAGTGTCTGCAGCTTTAAATGGCAGGGTTGTGTCTGTTACATAAAGTCAGCAGTGAGAGCCCTGGAGAGTCTGACCAAGAACACAGATGCCTGCACATCATTATGCTTCCTCGGCCGTGGCCGCACACAGGTCTGCATCAGCCCTGAAAATGCATACGTTATTTCTTACAGAATGTCTCTGGCTCCTAACAACAGATTGCAACGTGATGTCTCTGCTAAAAATTCGATGACTCACAAATGAGTCAACAGAGAAGGTGTTCCAGGAGGCTAACTGCTGTGTCTCCACTGGCAGCCCCAGGACCGGAGGGAGAAGCCGGGTGAACCATTAGTTTACTCGACTGGCTTCTCCTAAGGGGATTTTCTACTTGTAGAACCGAGATTCTGTGTGCCTTTTCTTCCAAGTAAAACTGCTAGTTTTGTAAGAGCCCAGCAGACTAGGTTGACATCCCGAGGCTCTGCATTACCTGAATTGAGAATATTTTGGATACCTAGCTGATATTAAATCTAACACCTGTCTAAGCTCTGTTGTACCTTACATGTATTTTCGTGACACAAGAGGGAGGGCATTGTGCTTCTGTAATTCTGTATAGGGAACTAGTGTTTTTGTGCCTTTTTTCTTACTTAAAAAAGAGGTGGGTTTATAAACAAAAGCTATAGGCACACAATTTTGAACAGAACTGCCTTCATATTGTAGAGATATAATATTGATTTTTATAGATCTTATTGATCTATAGATCTCATCTTTCAGTCTTATAGATTGAAACCTGATCCATACATTTAAAAGATTGCATACTTATAACTCATTATTCATGTATTATTTTCTACAGATTTTGAGGGGCTGCCTTGAACTGTTTATGAAGGAGAATTTGTTAAGCAAATTATCAGAGTGCAAGAGATAAAAAGCAGAATGTATGGCATTGCTTTAAAAACTGCTATGGATGTTAGAAGTTCTTTTCACACATAAACAATTGTTATGCTACTTATAAATGGAGTTTATCTATGTTATGCTATGTTTATCTGTTATGCTACTTATAAATATATATAAGTAATATATATAAATAAAAATAAATAAATATAAATAAATATAAATATAAAAATAATACTATGTTATGCTACTTATAAATATGCTGCTTATAAATATCTATGTTATCGGTGGAGTTTATCTATGTCATGCTACTTATAAATGGAGTTTATCTCCCCCCCGCCCCAGGAACCTATACCTTTAGGGGTATAGTTGTACATTCCACTTATACCTTGTAATTAAAACTAAACCACAGGTCTTAAATAGTATGAATAATACAGAGTGACCTCTTTTAATTA